AAACAGTCAGGATAGTTTAAACATTTGATTAGTTAAGAAGGTACAGCAAAAATACATGAATTCAATTGCAACAAATATTTTATGTGAACATATTTAAGTGAAATTAATTTAACAAGCTGATTAAATGATTTGAATTTAACAATCCAAGACAGCTGAATGTTATTTTGTATGTATTTAAATGCTATGGAGTGTTTACTGGGACCACAGACACAAAGGAAATGGAGCTGTATCATTGATAGAAGACAAGTAAACAACAGTCAATTAATGTCACATTTTATCTCTCTCTCAACTGTCTCTTCATCTACCTTTCTTGTTCTACTTTTCTCCACATACATGATGTTTCAAGTCAGCAGTCCAGCAAGTCTTCAGAAAATATTACTAACTCAAACAAAAACAGAAGTTGCTGGAAAAGCACAGCAGGTCTGGCAGCATGTGAAGAGAAAGCAGAGTTAACATTTCGGGTCCGGTGAGCCTTCCTCAGAGTGTCTCTTCACAGATGGCACCAGACCTGCTGAACTTTTCCAGCAACTTCTGTTTTTGTTTCTGACTTACAGCATCCTCAGTTCATTCAGTTTTTACTGAGGCAGATTATGGCTATGGGAGGTGAGCCTGTTTAAAGACATTACTGTTCACCTAGTCTTCCAGAAAATAATTTCTTTCATTTCTGGAAAATGGGCAACATCTGAAATCTTCACAATGTTTCTTGAACTGCTGAGTATTTCCAGCATTCTCTGCAGTTACTATTCACCCAATTAGAAATTTCAGTCCATCCTCCAAATTACAGGGAAATAAAAATGCTTCACATGACCTTTATAGTGGAATAAAAGTGGTAAGCTCATGCATCTCTTCAGCCAGGTGCGAGTTTGAATCTCACTGCAAAGGCCGAGCCTGTAATGCAGGCTGACACTCAGTTTGACTGGAGAAACTACTACACTGTTGGAGGTGCTGCCTTTCAGATGAGATGTGAAATCTAGGCCCTTCTGCCCCCACAGGTGGCCATTTCAGATTCCACAACTGCTATTTTGAAGCAGAGGATGCAACATTTCTGCAGACTCCTGGGCAATCTTTGTCCAACAGCCAAAACTGCAATGGGTATTGTCTGGCTCATTGTAACACTGATGTTGTGGCAGAGAGTGATGGGTGTAGATTTGGCTGCTGTTTTTCTTTACCTGTCCACACTTCAAAAGTTGCTCTTTGGCTATGCAGCACTCTGGGGTGTCCTGAGGTTAGAAATGCTGCTTCACAAATGCAAATTCTTTTTCTTTTCTTCTCACAACAGATCTATGCCTTATCAGTCTGTAGTTCCCTCAGGGAGGGGAGGGAGAAGCTGAGGAATTAGAGAAGCACTGGAAAATCATGAAGGAAATGTGTTTGAAGGTTAATGGAGCTCTTAAACTACTTCTGCATTGTTCAATTCTTCATGTTGCTACCCTCCTACAATGTCAGCTCCTGATTTTCAGTGTTTGCTCAATAGCAAGCATGGCAGGATCCCCAGTTCTGGAATTCCCTTCCTATAACTTTCATGGCACTCCCTCATCCCTCAAGATTCTCCTTGAAACCTACATAATTAATTTTCCCACACATCTCCTTACATGGCTCAATGTCAAGTTTTGTTTGTAACCTCTCCTGTTAAGAGTCTTGGGCCATTTTAGCAGCTTTCAAAATAAAATAGTTGAGCTATTAACAGAACAACAGTCTATAAACATAGAAATAGACATGAAACCTACATAACTAACTTCCTTTCCAGGAAACTGGCTTCTATAAAGTCCAAAGCCTAACAGGTGTGCTGTAGCACAGTGGTAATGCTGTTGGCCAATTAAGCCATCAGCTCAAGCAAATGTTCTCCAGTTGATGGAATTAACTGCAGTTAGTAAATCTGCAATATAAAGCTAGTGCTTGACCACAAGTGTTATTGATTGCTCTTAAAAAAGCAACATAATCTGGCTTAATGGCTACATTTCACAAGGGGGACTACATGTGACTCCACACTGCCCTCTGAAATGGTCTAGTAAGCCACTCAGTTTAAGCACAGTTACACATGGGCAATGAATGCTGGCCTTGCCAATAAAGTTCACATCCCTTCAAAGAATCAAAAACAAACCATACAGTTTTCCCCTCCCAAGAGTTATTAATTAATTCCCAAGTGAATTAATTGGTGGTGTTTGCCCTGGAAAGATACTCGTCCCCTTGCCATCTCAGCAAGTTCATGCTGGGAAAGAAGATCCATTGGCAACTTTCCCAATGAGCCCATAATTAAGGCCTTTAATGATCAATTAACACAAGCCACATTTGGGCCTCAAAGCACTGTAGGCTCCATTAGCTGCCTTCCTGGCAGATTGGAAGCAATTGATTTCCCAAGTGAGAATCCAGGGTGACCTAACAGCTGAGGAAATGTGGGCCTCCATTTGCCCCTATTGGGGGCACATCAGGGGAAGGCAGGGGAAGGAATAGAGGCAAAGGGGTGGTTGCTGAAGGCCACACCTCCACACTTGCCTCCATACCCCCAACCATCCTCACTTCAAAACACCCATTCAGAGAGACCTGAAAGAAAAGGAGATGCCCTTTTGGCAACTGGGTGACCTGTGAGGCATCCAGAATGATCTGTAGAACCCAGATGCCAGCCTGATTGGCTGGCAGGCTTCTGATGAAGCAGGCCTCAATGCCTGTGATTCGCTAAGAAGCTCTCCAGTCCAATATTATTTAAGTTGGTTGAAACTTGACTGGCAAGCTTTCTTGTGTCACGATAGTGGTAAAGTATGGACTATCAATTTTCAACTTCCACCACCTAGTTTTAATACCTTAGAGCTCCGTGGAATAAAATGGTTTCAAACAGGAACAGATGCAGTTCTAAAATGGCTTCAGAAAACACCTGACCACAGATTGAGGCAAGGTCAGGAAATCAGTAAAGTGTAGAATAAATTAAGCTGCCTGAACTGAACTTCCTATTTTACCCGCAGTCATTGAAACTAGTCAATTGAGTCAGGAGTCAAGAAACTTGCATCTCCTGGCTATGCCTTTTTGAAGAGTTGCATAAACTGAACACAAAATTGTTACCTACAACTATTCAACTTGTAAAGTCAATGGAGTCAAGCTCAGGAATACACAAATGAATCATGTTTATTGAATTGGAGAGAACTCAGAAAAGACTTACCAGGACTGGAGGGTTTGCATTATAAGGGTAGGCTGGGACTTTTTTCACTAGAGTATAGGAGGTTGAGGGGTGACCTTAGAGGTTTATACAATCATGAGGAGTATAGATAAGGTGAATGGCAAAAGGTCTTTTCCCTAAGATGGGGGGAAGTTCAAAATTAGACAGCATATTTTTAAGGAGAGAGGAGAAAGATTTTAAAAAAGGGACCCGAGGGGCAACTTTTTCCATAGTGGTTTGCATGTGGAACAATCTGCCAGAGGAAAAGTGGTATATGCAGGTACTGTCACAATATTTAAAAAAACACATTTGGACTGGTACATGAATAGGAAAGGTTTAGAGGGTTTAGTCTCCTGCAGGCAAGTGGGATTAGTTTGGCATAGGCAGGTTGGACCAAAGGGTCTGTTTCCTTGCTGTATGACTATGAGCAGCTGAAAGAGACAGGATGTGTAGCAGCAAGGACTAGATCTCTCTCTCGTTTCTCTTCGCCTCTTGAAAATTAGCACTGTTAATTGGGGAAACATGCCTTCACTGACAAGGATTCTGCAAATTTGCTTAGCTGATGGGATACAATACTTCAACTAAATATGAAGGCTCCAGGTTCAACTATAACAATCCAAGAACTCCTAAGAGTTTGACTTTTTCAAAAAAGTTGTTCTTGATCTTCCTTTTTGTGCTAGTCATTCACTCCTTAAGCTTCATACCCTGTCTGAGTATATTTGATTTATTATTTTCCTTGGGGTAGTTGATAATGAAACAGCTCATTCTTTCATAGAAGGAAAGCTTGCAATTTACTCCTTAATTCTGATCTAGTGACAATATTTCAATTGTGCTAAAAAGTATTAGAAGTATTTGTTGCAGCTGCCTGAGGGGGTTTAAAACAAAGGGAGCCAATTCACTCCTCCTGACCTGGTCATTACTCTCCTGGTGGGACAATGGCAACTGAATATGCTCAACCCTGCACTCAGTCTGGACAATAAAACTTCAGCCAGAGTGTGTGATATCATGTTACCATGAAATGTCTGGATTTATTGGTGTGGCTCCATTGATCTATAAGGTTTAGATTATCTCCTGAGTGGAGGTTTCTATAGCTGCACTATGTTTATGCTGCTACCCAACTGCCACTCAGAAGGATTTTAGTATCTTTTGCTGAGCCTTTTGTCAGTTGAACTGACAATTCACAGCAAGGCCATTCAAGCCATCATGTCCTTATCAGCTCTTTGAAAGAGCTACCCAATTAATCTCAAACCACACTTTCCCCATAGCATTGCAAGGGTTTTATTTCACTTCTATCTCATTCCCTTTGGAAAGTTGTTATTGACTCAGTACATGAAAGGCTCCTCATATGGTTCTTTTGCTAATCATCCCAAATCTGTCATTTGGTTACTGAGACCTCTGCCTGTGGGAGTGATTTCTCCTTATATACTCAAAGTGAAATCTCATTGTTTGACAGTTAAAAACTGAGTACCACTTCACTGGAAACTCCTTTGAATTAGATTATTGCCCTCTGAGTGCCAGCAGATATCTGCTCTATCATTGCATGAACAAGCATCTAGTAAGTGATGCTTCAAATTTCTATTGTTGACAATTGGAAAATCCCTTCCATGATGACTTGCATTGTCTGTTGAAATGTCTACTTATTCTGTGCCAGTGACTTTACCATCAGCAACAATCAGACAACCAGTTTTTGCTGGCAATAATCAAAGACAACAACTAAATTCCCTTCTGTAAAGAGAGCTTTCAAATCTGTAATGAAACTAAAATGGCTATAATGAGTGTCAGGGCTTTGAGTTAATGTCTTATCCCAAAGGCAGCAATCTCAATAGCTCAATATCCTTAGTTGCAACACAAACACCTTGCATTTACATTTAATGTACTAAAATACCTAGGCCATCACAAAACAATTACCAAGTAAATTTTGACACCAAACCATTTTCAAGATGGCAGCTGTGGCACATAGGAAGTGTTCGGACTCTGTGCTCGTACTCTCCTGTTCACCTGGCCGGTCGCATTTTGTTTTTCTTGTTTCTTAATTTCTTTGTGTCAAAGTTCACCTTTTCTGCGGCTGCGGTGAGGGAAGGTGGTTGCAAGGGCCTGCTGCAGTTATGGCAGCCTGGTGTATCCAGATATCCATCCCTCGTGGTCATTAGTGACCGGGGTTTTACTGGAGGCTCCACCATCGATGGGTCTGGCCTGTTCCTCCTGGTCGTGGTGCGGCAGCAGCATCCGGGTCGTTCCTCGTTTCTATGGCAGAAATATGGCGGCTTGAGGCGAGGATTGAAATGGTGACGACTTCAGCAGGTTAGTGGGGCCTCGTTGTAGTGGCGATGCATGTTGGCTTTGATGTGGTGGATCTGGCCTGCAAGTCCTTGCTTTGGCAGCCCTGACTTGCACCTAGCCCCATTCTCCCATCACTTCCACAGCCACTCCAGAAACCCAGGACCTGTGGAGGGAACAAAGGATGAACTTTGTCCTCATTTGTCTCAATGGCTTTTTAAAAAGTATCATTTCTAATTAAAATGGCACTGAATTGTGGCAACTTATATGCATCTCACTGTATTTTCATAAATACAAGTGACAAAAGATTGTTATTCTACACAAGATCTGAAGGCAGGTGGCCAAGCGTTTGGTGAAAGCTGTGATACAGAGGAGGAGAGGGAGGTAACAGACAGATAAGTGTAAGCAGATAATTTCAGAGCTGAAGGCCCAAGCCCCCCAGCGTTTGAGGGGGTTGAGAAAGTGCAAAAGCCCAAAATTAGAGCAGCTCAGGGTTCTCAGAGGGTTGTGGATCAAAGGAGGTTACAGAGATAGGGAGGAGTGAGACCATAAAGAAAATTTAAAAACAAGGATGAGGATTTAAACATTGAGGTACTGGTGCATTAGCTGGGATGTCATGCAAAAATCAATCATGGGTGGAGGGGTAAGTACAGAATCTGTAATAGAGTTCAGTGTTTCTAGTACATTAAACTATTAAATGGAGATTAATTCTGAATTAGAAGCTCTCAGCTTCTGCAAGATACTTATCTATAGCAGCACAATAAGTTACATACAATATATTACATTGCTGACTTGCACCTCACCCTATTCTCCCATCACTCCTGTCTCCACTCATTAGTTCCTGATCTGACAATGGATTGAATTTTAAAATTTGCATCCTTGGTCTTGACTTTATAAAGTCCTTCAGCCCCACAAACCTTCAAGATCTCTATATTCCCTGATTCTTGGGAAAATTTCCATTAGTCCACCATTGGGGGTTATGCCTTCAAGATCCCTCCTTAAGCCTGGCCATATCACTACCCTCTCCTAATCAAGACTGTTACCATCTATTAAGGACTGGTATGGATACTGGAGAACAAATTGAACTAGGTAATTGGGTGATCCTTATCAGGATCATTGGGGGCAGGGGGAAGGTGGGAGAATAGATGATCATTGGTTGGTCAGATAAAAACCAGTTACAAGTGAAAGCACTGCTGGATATGATAAGACAGCAGTAAGTGAAGCATTGGGTGAAAATTGGGTATATATACAGAGAACAAGTTTTTGCTCCTAATTCTGCTCCTGTATCTTATGGCCTTATCAGTTTGAGTAGAGTTGAAATAAAGCTAACTAAAAAGGTATGAGCCTAGACTGTCAAACCCATACCTCACCTAGGTTGTTTAAACATCAAGACACTAAACACCTACTTCTCTAACCCAAGCTTTTGACCAACTGTGCCATTGGCTGAATTAAATTTTATCCAATGTTCCTCTGAAAGGGGAAGACATCCTACTACATCTGAGGTGCTATATAAATACATAGTTACCACTGATTGGTTCTTGAGTGAAATAGATTTGGTCTGTGTACTTTTATACATTATGGTGCTTGGTTTGTTGCATGAAGGAGCTGAGATGTGCCTATGTTTGTTGGTATCATTTTCCTTCCCAGAAGATTGCACATGGACCTCCACCTGTCTGTGGACAATTAGGAGGTCAGCTATAACCCAATACATCATATCTACCACCTGTTCACTTTTCCCTCTCCAATCCCTCCCCATCCAACATCCAGCTTGGTCTAGTGCCTGCTCTAATGTCATAGAATTATACAGCATAAGAGGCCACCATTTGGTGGCTCATGGCTGCAACTGATCTCCAAGCCAGCAGTCTTAGTACCATCCCCCATAACCAAGAATTTTCCATTGCAGATAAATTTCCTAATTCCCTTCAGAATGCCTAAACTAAGTCTCCTCCCTCACTCTCTGGCCACATTCTCTACTTTAACCACTCAGTTGCTTCTGCTTCTTTTGCAGAAGCAGTCATCAAGTCCAAGCTATTACACTTTTGATCCTTTCATTGGTGAAAGCAGCAACAATGTACAAGTTGAAACAAGAGCCATAAAGTGCTTCCTTTTCAATGGAAAGGTATTATTGCCAACCTGTAAAGCTAAACACTGGAATACAAGAAATAAGCTATATAGTACATTTCACCAGGATATCCCAAAATGTTTGAGCCATTGAAGTACTTCCATAGCAACAGCTATAGGAAATATATCAACTCACCAATCTCATTTGGCTGCACCTTCCAAAGCAATGACCACCACCACCACATAGGCCAGGAGTAGTAGATACAATGGAAACACTATCAGATTCCCCTTTAGCATCATGGCTTGGAACTACATTGGCATTTCATTCCTATCTGAAATAACTGCAGCAACCATGCACAGTACATAACTCAAAGCCAGTCCCCTAAACTGAGGGGATGCTAATCCCCTATTTATATTGGTCACAGGGCCTCCTAATTGGCCCATGTTAACAACCCCAATCAAGGAGCTCATAGTCAACAAGATCCACCTGGTTCCAATCATTACACTGTTAAGAGGTCAAAATCCTGGGAATCTTTTTCTAACAGCACTGAGAGTATCCCTACACCCCAAAGAATGGAGTCATTCAGGCAGACTGCTCACCAGCACCTTCTCAAGGAAAATTAGGGATGAGCAACAATTTCCAGTCTAACCAGTGATACCCACATTAGGTGAAAGAACATATAACATTTGCACACAGCAAGACTCCCACAAACAGCAATGTAATACTGGCCAGATCATCTGTTTTAGTAATATTGGTTGAAAGGTAAATATTGGCCAAGACATAATGAAGAATCCCACTATTCTTTTTCTTCTCGAGTTTGAGGTCCACTATCAGAAACATCTCAGTTCTCAAAATCCAGTCACAGTTATTCCACCCCAGTCTTCTCACACATTGACACATTGTCATACTGAATTTGTAAGTTAAGTCATTCCAATGTTTTGTGTAACAGTACGGTTTTGTAACACAACTCTGCATGAGAAAAGATTTGAAAATGTGCAATAATCACTGACCGTTGCCTCAAAGAATTCCTGACTTCATTGAATGTGTATGTGTGTGAATTACTCCATGCATTTTAACACAAAAACATATCTTCCTTGGAAATTAAATCCCTGAAGCTTTCAGACTTGTCAAATTTCACTTTTGAAAAGCAACAGTCACACAGTGTGAAAACTTGTCAACATTTTGTGCATGTGTTTTCACATTCTCTCATTCTCAGATATCTGAGATGCTGAGACAGTGGCTGCCAGAATTGCCAGCAACAGAGATTGGCTAATTCATGTTTTGATGGATGTTTAATTAAAATATAAAACATACACGTATTGGGAGATGTTACTTAGTTTCTTACGACAAGAAACAAGTTGATGAACATTGGTAATTATTGCAAGAGAATAGCAGGGCTGGGGAAATCAGGACTGTATGTTTTGCCACTAAAGTGTGTGTGTGTGCGCTGTCAACCATATGCATTGTGGTGGGATTTCACAGCCATCAAGTTCTCATCTCAGACTTCAAACCACAGATTGCGTCCCAGAGACCGGGCCCTTGCTGCTACACCACAAGATCTCCTTGTAGTTTGTAAATTTGTTGTTCAAAGAGACTGTTTGTATGATGTTTAAACTGACTCTGCTGAGCCTCTGCCACAATTTACTCTTTAAACAGACACTGTTTATCTTTAGCTAAATGTACAGATTCATTTATTACAAACCCTGCTATACCTCCTCTTCAAGCAGAGTTCCGCGGCTGACAACTCAGGCAGGGTCATCTGTCCATCAAGTCTGGGGATGGTGTTTCGGGACCATTTCCAGGTCCTGGTCTTGCTCTGGTGGTCAAGGCATGACCTTTGAGATCTTCCATAGATGGCAAAGTGAGAGGCAACCTAAAGGTCTGCCTTCTAATTAAAGATGCCAGGTGATTGCCCACATGCAGGGCAGATAATAGCCCAGTGGTAATTTTGTTAAACTGGTAAACCATAGACTCAGGCTAATGCACTGGACACAGGGTTTCAGATTGTACCACGGCAGATGGTGAAATGTAAATGAAATGAATAGGTATGGAGTATAAAACTAAGCACATGTCATGTCCTGAGAGCATGAAGGGAAACCCTAAATAAGATTGTCTGCTTTCAACCTGCTCTAGATAATGGAAAACATCAAGACCATTTTGCTAAATGATTGCTTATACTTTTACAGTTACCACATCACCTCGCTGTAAAAATACACTGTTGGCTAAACAACCTTCCAATTATCCCATTGACATGGACCATCAGCTCCTAAAATGCCTGAACTTGTCTCATGTCTGAAATTGGAGCTGGTTGAATCACTTCAATGGACTGTTCCCCCTAGGATTCTAGGTGAGTTCCTGTTTGATGTCAAGGCCTTAGCCCCTCCATCTCTGTCTTCAACTTATTCGCTGAAAAAAAAGTCTCAAGATCAAGGTAAAGTCACATAATTCCAGAGGACCAAGGAGAAAAGCAATCGTAATTTAACTTCATTGCCATTCCCCCTGTGTCTGTGACAAATGAAACTATCATTGATTGTTGTGAAAAACCTATCCGATTGACTAATGAGAAGGAAATCTACTCTGTTTACTTGATCTGGCCGACATGTGACTCCAGTGCCAGAGACCAGCATTGTGGTCAACTCTGAACTACTCTTTGAAATGACATACTGGTTCATGACCAGCTACTCAAGGACAATTAAGGATGGGCAATAAATGCTGGCCAGCAACATCACATCCCACAAACAGAAAAGAATCAGACAGATGCTCAGTGTTGTTCCACCCTGCCTTTCAGAGATGGCAGGTCCCTCCCCACTGGGAGAATATCTCTTTACAGGACATTTCCCCCATTCCATCAGAGATATGATGTGGAGGGTGTTGTGTATAGCTGTATCGTGTTTAAGATGGTTCACAAACTGCCAGGCCGTTTGTATTTTCCAGAGACTCGAGAAATCTGACTTCCAAATGTCAATTGTATTAACTAACATCCCCTTTTTAAATTACTTTTGCCTAATTTTGAGCTTAATTTTTAGGTGCACTTCATCCCTATTCTCCCAATCTTTGGCCACCCAAAGATGAGTGGATGGGTGAGGGTACAATGGAGAACAGCCTACTAGTGGGGAAGAGGTCTGCTTGTTAGTCCATCCAAGGTTGCATACAGCTCCAGGCAGCAGGCTGAGGAGGGGCCTGCTATGCCCGAATACATGCCCCCCTGCCATGTTTATATTTGCACCTGGGTGTCCTCGCAGATGGTTTCCACTGGCATATTGAGGCCTTCCACAACAGATGGGCATCGGGATGGTCACTCCACACATTGGATCAGAAAATCCTCCCTGTCCAGGCCCAAAGTTTGCTCCCACAGGAGCAGGACAGTTCAACTCTATGATGCTCACTTTGGGAAGAAAGAGAGGAGACAGGGAAAGCCAGACAATGTTGAATCGATGATGCCCAGCTCCGATGAAACTCTGCTTGAAGGAAGTATTTTTCACACTTCCAGGTGGTGATACAAGGGTCAGTTTTGTGTCTGCTGCTGTTCACGAATTTTTAAAAATATGACAAAGACGTAGGTATACTGCGCAGCATTACATAGTTTACAGATGATGCAAAACTTGAGAAAGTAATAGATAGAAATAAGGATAGTTAAGAGTTCAGGATGACTTCGACAGTTTGGTGAAATAGATGGGAGTCTGGCAGATGGAGTCAATTTCGAGAAGTGTGAAGTCCTGCTCTTTGGGAGGACTGATATGGAAAGACAATGAACCCTTTATAGCCCCATTTTGAAAAGTATAGATGAGCTACACAAATCCTTAAAGCTGCCATGCTGATTGATGAGGTGGTTACAAAGCATGTGGGTAATTTGGCATCGAGGAACATTGACATGATGTTGCCAAGGGAAGGACATCACTTCGAAGGAGAAGTTGTTTAAAAAAAAGAATGTTCTAATTTAAATAGAAATGATGTAATAGTCGTGACATATAGAAGTTTTCAAGAAAATTGAGAGGTTTCAGCACAGTGGAATGAGAAAAACCATTCTGTCTGGAGAGTATGTCAAATAGTCAGAGGCAATAAATTCAAAATCATTGGAATTAGATTTACAGGGAACATAAGTTTTACTGCGAGAGAGTTGTCAGTCCTGGAACCTAAAAATGTGGAAGTTGATTCCAAAACACTTATAAAGAGAGAGTCAGAGAGGCTTTTGAGGCTCAGAACTATATAGGGTTATGGACAAAAAAATCTAAGTATGAGAAAAAGTAGAAATGTTCTGTCAAAGAGGCAGCACCGGCACATTAAAACAAATAACCTCACTTACATTGTAAGTATCTATGACACTATGGGGAGTAAGCTGAGGGTGGTAAGAATGTCATAAGTTTAGGATCCTGAGTAAGAGTGAAACTGACAGCCCTTGATCTTAGCAAGAAGATACTCCAGGGAGAAGAAGGAAGAAAGGGCTTCCATTCACAGGGTATTTTCTGGGTATCACACAGTGCTTCAAAGCTAATGAATTTCTTCATGGCAGTTGCTGCTTTAGTGAAAGCACATGTAGCTGCCAAATTGCACACAGCAGCAGACAAGACAAATGATCACTGAATCTACTCTAGTGGTGTTAGATGAAGGATAAATGTTGGGATAAACAGAGAATAGTGTTACTGTATTTTTCTCAATTGACCCAATCAGCAAGCTGGGTGTCCCTTTACTGTTTCACCCAAAGGATGGTGCATCCGAATTTCTAATGCACCCTCAGTGCTCCCCCTGAGTGCCAGCTTCAATCCGAGCAATTGGAATATACAGCACTGAGTTTGGATGTCAATGTGGAGCCTACACAGGTTCGAAAAGCAGCATGAAACTAAAGGGTGGATAAGGATGCAGGCAGCTTCCGATGCCACATTTGCAATATTTGAACATTATATCAATGCTCTTGCCTGTTTGCTGACAAATGCATTGTTTACTTGTGTGTAGGTGCACAGCAGGATATGAGGGGCCAATCAGATCCTGCCATCGAGGTGCAGAAAGTGTTGCAATGTTAAAATAAGCATCAACAGCTGCAGCGGGGCTAATACCTTTAGCACCAATATAACTGAGTTGCAGAAAGTTATGTGTAAAATGCAAACACCAGGTTTCCATTTTGCAAACCAATTTTATTCTTTTAGTGACACAGTATTTGACAAATTCGGAAAATATCATGTCAGCTTTCAACCTTCCAAAACTGCCCCTGTTTCCCTCATGACAAGCAGCACATTAAATATCCACAATTCACTCTAAACATTTGGCTTACTATTTGAACACCAGTTGTTCTGCCAATGACTAAAGCGATAATTACCATGAAACACAGGGGGAATTTATGAAAAACATAAACAAGTGAAATACTCAAAGCAGAG